AAGGCAACTCCCCAAGGTTTACCATAAAAGTGAATGAACTAGAGTTGATATAGAAAGGAGAGTACAAAATTTTAGGTCCCTTTTGGTGATTTGGAGACATCTTCGAAAAAGAACAAAATGTAAGAGAACATTACGTATTATAACTGATAAAAAAATCTGCATATCTTTAAGTGTTTAGTCATTGCTAAAAGCACTGAAAAATAGATGAGACTGGTCCAGTTACTTGTTTTAAACATTGAAGAACGAAAATTAAATATATCAACTTATATTTGATCACATTGTCTACATGCCATGTCCACACTCTCAAGCCTCAAAGCAAGCCTGACAGATATGAATACAATGCATAGGCTTAATAATAAAATTATGCCTGCAAGTTGCTAACAAGAAATAGCTAAGCCTACATCACCTTTGCTCTTTTCCTGAATGTATCCGCTACTTCAGGATTCGCAATCATATCTACGTACCTGAAAATAAAATATGTAAATATGACATCAATGAAAATGAGATATTGAGCTGAAGCATATTTCAACTGCACGTTATCCATTTGAAGTGCAGTGTCTTCATAAGATTTAAAAGATATCTAGATAAGTAAAAATTACAAGTGAAAAAAAAAAGTAGGTATCTTTTCATCAGAAACAAATAATATATTAAAAAAGGGACAAGGGATGAGAAATACCTTGAAGCCAACTTGATTTTATAAGACATCCTAAGGTCTTTTTTTTTTTTTTTTATATAAGAAGGCCTGAATACTCATCCTAATCGTCGAGGGTTTTCACAAAAAGGAAGACACATAAAAACAATAGTTTCCCATTTTGCAAGTTCTTTTCACTAGCCTTCGGTTAATTGATGATATAAAATCAGGCCAACCTCTACGGCAGAAAATATTGAGAGGTTTTCTCCCCATCAAAAAGCAATAGAAATTAATATTCCCATTCAATGATATGCATTTCTTACTTAATGACATTATATCATGTCGGACATGAGCCCCCAAAAATAGGACAATCAACTACAGTATCAAAATGTGACTTTCACAACTCTTAAAACAAAAGACATACATAGAGAAATGGTTGTCCACAAGAATTAATATTTTTGAAATAGAAAATGAAAAAAATGGGCCAAAAGTTACCGTTGGCGGTAGCGTTTATCAATATCAGTTAAACCATGATATTTGTCAGGAAGTGGAAGTAATGACTTCGTCAGGATTTCAAAAGAATTCACACAAACAGAAAGTTCCCCTGAAGAAAATGAAGGACAAAAAATTAAATCATAACATATCCAAGCGTTAATAATGTGGAAATGCAGTTCAGATCCATGAAAACATATGTCCCGCAGGCTTAATATATACATAAAGGAATCTAGAGATTAATACATAGCTAAGTGATTTTTGTTACTTGAGAACTTTCTAACCTTTTTAAAGATTAAGAGTATTAATGTTACTTGAAAGTTCAAGAATATTTTTTTAAACGTGAAACTAACCGTTCCGTCTATATACTAACAGTAAAAGTATTAACTTTTTTAAACGTTTAAGGTTATTGATGAAACTTTTGAAAGTTCAAGATTATTTTTTTAAACGATTTTAAAACTTTATGGGTATTTTTTAAATAAAATACCAACCGTTTTCATTCAAAATTAACAATAAAAGTATTTTTGAATTTTTTTAAAAGTTTAAGGTATTACTGAAACTTTTAAAACTTCAAAAATATTTTTAAAACAAGATACAAAATTCATGGGTATTTTTTATAATTTAGCCAAACAAAAAACCAAAAACAAAAGGGTTATCAAACAAGACTGGAATGATTTGTTGTCATGATAGCTTCTAGCTTAAAAAATGAAAATGCAAAAGTCTGCCCATACCTTTTCTCTCTTATTGTTCCAAGTATGATACGAAATACTCTTAATGTGGTCTCAAAATACTACTTTCTCAACTTTCATTATAATGGTTATGGAAAAATGTAAATGAAGAGATTCTTTCTAATTCCTATGCTTCAAAGAAATGACAAAACAATATAACAAACAGTTCAACATCCAATCTCTACTAAAGGTCAGTGTAGATGAAAATAATTATTACACGTCTCAAATCCTTCAGAGCAATCTACTTTACTCTTTCTTGAAAAACAGAAAATTAAATTAAATTTGGCTGACAGATTCGTATGCAACAGGCTGATTAATATAAGATTGATACTTGAGGTTCTCTCTTAATATCAATTAGATTTATAAGAAAATTTAGATTTTATTTTTAATAGGTACATCCAATGAGTGTTTAACTTCTAAGACTCTAGCTTCCGAACGTTAACTGCATAAACTTTTTCATGCCAAGAGAAAAATGTGATCAAGCCATTAAGAAACAACAGCACGAGGACTCACCTTTCTCTGTTCGCTTAATTGAACCGCGTGCACCAAGAATATCGCCGATATCAACAAGATTCTTTAGCTGATCAAACTGATCATTTATGAGCCTTTCCTTCTCACAGTAAAGCTGAAATCAAAATTGTCAATCAACTATGTTGATTACATGGTTTATATTAAGATAAGCAGAAGTAGAAGACTCTTCAAAACAGCGCCTCGTACAGTTGGTCACAATGGATATAACTTAAAAGTGACTAAAAATACGTCATTCTCGTGGATTTACGCAAGAACGAAATTAAACAGATCAATCGTCAAATGATCTGCCAATCATGTTCACAGCCATCTAACATGAAAAACAAAAATTTCCCCTACTTAAAAAGACATACTCTACTACCTTGAACAAGCAGTAATCTTATATGCACTCCATAAAGTTTCACCAATCCCAGCAGCGACTTGACGAAACAATGGCGTGGATATAAGTGTAAGTTAGTCAATTGAAGCAAGCCAGTATACGAACCTGAATTGTACCAGAATCGTCTCTTAATGTCAGAAATGCAAGCTTTCCAAACGCACGGCGAGCCACAATCCTTCCAGCTATTGACACAGAACTCGTATCGTTATTAGACTCTTCGCCATTGCCTAGATGCTTATATAACTCTTGCAGCTGACTAGCAGTATGAGTCCTGTCCCACGTATATGCATAAGGTTCCAACCCCTTGCTCCTCAATTCCTCAACCTAACACAACAATATAAATGTCCCAAAACATTCAACCAAGTCCAGAAAGAAAATAGACGGGAAGAGGTGGAGTATAGTGCATTTGTAAGTGGTATGAGAAGAACCTTCTTTAAGCGAATTGCACGAACCGCCTCCCTGTCGGACGTAGAAGCAGGAGATGATGTAGTCGAGGAGGAAGAACGGCGGCTACGGCCGGAAAGCTTGACTTTTCCGTCACCGGCAGTGGAGGTTGCGGCGGAAGAACAGCGACGAAGGAAGAGGGCGGAACGAGAAGATTTAGGAGCGAGGGCGGAGATTGTCGAAGAGGAAGAAGCCAAGCGAATGAGGTGCTTGAACAATGGCTGGGAGCATACTGCCCCGTAGAGCTTCAAGGCCTCCATTGGATTCACTCCGTCCTCCTTCCTGTGCGCGTTGCCCAAATCAGCGCTTTATCTACTCCGATTGCATGCCCCAATTCCACTTGGAGCCACTGACCCGCCATTTTATTGATTAATGACGTCACTATTTGTTATTTTTATAATTGTAAAAAAATTTCGATCATATTAATATTAAAAAAAAAACAACCAAATCTAAAATTTCAAGTCAAACTATTGCGAGACTATAAATACCTACAATATATTATGTAAAAATCAGATTCGTGGATAATGAATTGAAATCTCGAATTCAGAAGTTTTCTTTAGAAATTCGAGCATCAATTTACATCAATTTTGTCATTTCTAAGTTTTAACGTGGTAGAATTGCATCCTTCTAGATTTTCGACTGTAAGAGGTAATCTAATTTTAGTCTTATCGCTTCGTTGATCAAATTTAATTAGAATTGCATCCGAGACATTCAATCAAGCCTCGATTAAGTTTGATTGTAAAATGATTCAATTTAAAACGACGTTTCAAATCTTGCTTATATCTTTGATCATAAGACTTAATCTAATTCTAGCCTTATAGTTGATCCAAATTTCGTATTAGGAGGTGTTAATTACTTTGATTTGAGGGTTTTTGCTTCAACAAAAGCTTAGATCGTTGGGCTGAGGATTAGGGTTGTCTTATCAGTTGCCCTCTAAGAGCTAGCCTCAATGTGGTCTTAATCGATTCCTTTCCGGGTTGGCTCATGTGGCCTAACTCGATCTCGATGACTTGGTCTTTGCTAGGACAACTTGCCCTAAGCCAAGTTTGACTAGTTTCCCCATTAGCTCGGCTCAACAATCATCAAGAGTTTTGACCACCTTTAGGTTAGGGGTCGGTTAACTTTCATCTTCATTGACACGAATTGAAACTCTTGGGTCTTCGCTAGCCCGTGTGGGGTCGACTCTCTTTGCTTTATGTGATTTTCTTTATTGGGCCACACGTTCAATATATATTCAATACAAAATTATTCGCTAAAAAGGCTTAAAAGACATTGACATGGCCATAGTCAACATAACATACACATAGCTGGTATGAACATCAACGTGTAAACCAACAAAGAAAACACAAAGACACAAATCTTAGAATTATGGGACGAGTACTTAGTTGAACTTACATCCACTAGATTCACGATATTCTATTTGCATTAAGTTTGATTGAACTAAAAGGCGTCCAACCGAGCTCAAAAGGGTCTTCTTATGTTAGGGGCAAGCTCAAACACGCCCGAAAAGTACCGGGTCACCTCGAGCCTCACCCCTAGTCGAGGTGGTCGTTTTAGTCTTGGACTCATAGGTCATCTTAACACAAGACCTATATTGGGCATTGGCGCAGTTGGTTGGGCCCGAGGGAGGGTCGAGTTTTGGCTAGTCCGCCTTGGGCCAGTGATTTCTACTTCATACTTCAACAAATAATAGCCACATAAAATTTGGGCATTGCCGTCCATATGTTCATATGAAATTTCACAATTCTGTTCAAATCTCGTCTCGTGGCCCATTTCGTCGAGGATTTGACACGTACCGAACAAGATACCGATAAAACAAAGCTATAATCTCGAGTTGACTCGTGAATTTCCTGTGAAAATCGAATTAAAATTGAAGCCCGATTTGTGGCTTCGCTGTCGAGATCAAAGAATATGTGGTGGAACGAAATTCGGAAAAGAAATTAGTGTATTGGGTCAAAACTCAAATGGAGAGGGAGATGGCGAATTCTTCAAGCCACAGCTGAAGAACAGAGCACAAATCCGTTGAAGAACACAGAACTAGATCACTAATCGGGCATATTATCGTGTTCATCGCGACAGCCACTGAGAAATCAATGGTATTTAACAGCTTAATCGTGTTATCGGTTGCTCATTTATCGGCCGATGCATCGCAATGCATTGCACGATCTCCCGATCGCCTCACCAGCCACCAACTTCTTTATGTTCTCTTCAGCTACCCTCTTCAACAGCTCTCTCGCCTCGCCCTCTCTATATGGACCTTCTTATGCGTTCCTCCACCGGGTTCCTTCTACTATTACTACTACTCCTCCGACTACGATTCCTCATCCGAATGAATTCTCTCTCTGGTAATTTCTCCCTCTTTTCTTCAATTATGTAATTTCTCTCTCTTTTCTTCAATTATGTAATTTCTCCCTCTTTTCTTCAATTATGAGATTGCGCGATCCTAACTATTCACTCGTCAATTTCTGCTTCTGGATTCCTTTTTTTTTTTCCCTTCTTTCTCGCAAGTCGATTATGCGTGATTCGTCTTCATAACATCAGATTTGACATTTTCTGAGCATCATGTGTTCGCTGACATTTTTCTAGCTTTTTTTGTCAAGAATTCATTGAGTATGATAGTAATCGACAACGAGCTAGTAGTTAAGATAACACCATCGATCACTTGCATTGAAAGATTGCTTGCTAGTTTGTCAACTGAGGGATTTAAACCAACACCATCTTCTGTGTCTTCTTAAGTAATGATTGTTTTATTTGATTTCGTTGGTTGAGGTATCTGCTCCGTGTTACATCTCATGCTTTTCAATTTGTTGTGTTCATTGAGGTTTTCCAGCTACCACTTAATTTTTAGTTGGAGAGGGGAACAAAATATTCTTGGTGTGAAAACCTCTCCCAAGTAAACGGTTTTAAAATCGTGAGGTTGGCGGCGATATGTAACGGGCCAAAGTGGACAATATCTACTAGCGGTGGGCTTGGACTTGGGCCGTTACATTATACCACCACTTGCCTTGTGATTCATCATAAATGTCACAGATATGCTTGATTTATTGGGTGGAGATTTGCTCAATAATGTTGTATCTGTTACTCTCTGGCTTGAATTTGATCCTCTTCAAGGGATTGAACAGTGGTCTGATCAATGGCTTCATCAATAAGTTTGTTGTTTTTATAGGCAAAGTGGTTGAAGTGGATGAGAGTAGGAATTTAGTCATAAGGAAAGCCTTCTATTCATTTTCCCTATTATCTTGTCCCACCACTGTAGAATATGTTCCGTTAACATTTCACCTAAAAGCTTAAGTTGTTAGATCTCTGAAACACGGATGATTAATATGAAGAGAGGAAGGAAATAACTCTTGAGGGATTTGAACGTATGGTTTCATTTGACACTGTCACTCTTGATCTCAGTCCTAGAGAATTTCGTGGACACAAGGTGTGAGATCTCATATTGGTTGGAGAGGAGAACGAAGCATTCTTTATAAGGACATGAAAACCTCTCCTTAGTGGACGCGTTTTAAAACCTTGAGGGGAAGCTCGAAAGGAAAAGCCGAAAAAGGACAATATCTAATAGCGGTGGGCTTGGGTTGTTACACGAGGAATGAAATGGGGGCAGGGAAGCCATCCTTGGCCTTGTCCGTTCCCTTGTTTAGTGTGTTGTATACATATGCAATTTATAAATCTATTGTTTGGCTTGGGAACCTTACCAAATTAGGGCTTGTGACTTCTCAGTGTTCATATAGGATCGTCATTTCTAATCTTAACACCTGAGACCTCTTAGTATCTGTAGGTTTTCTATAAATCTAATGAGAAGATGAATCCAAATTAATATGAGTCAGATATTTCTGCAGTCGGAGTGGTACAAAGGATAACTGTTCTCAGAATGTGGAAGTTTCAGGGTACTTGGTGCCTAATGAGAACATTACATTTACTTGGAAAGACGAGGCTTCGGTTCAAGTAATGCGAGTATGAAATAGACCACTTGAACTTGGAAGATTATGGAAGAAAAATTTTGAGTTTGTTTAAAATGTATGTTCTCTTCGACTTTGTCTTCTCGAACTAAATGCAACGTTTGGGCATTATAGAAACGGATATTACAAGGATGTGTTGGCTTTCTTTTAGAATGTTGGATAGAAAATAAACGTGGTGGTGACGTGGATCTACGTGGCAACTTGGGCACTTGTCTGGATGAACTTTTCGTTCAACATTCTAGTGGTTTTTCTATTCCAAGCGTAGTTTTGAAGCGATAATGAATATTTTTTCGATCTCTTGCTGGCATCTTGTTCTGTTTTTATAACATTAAGTGTAACCTTTAATGCAATTTAATGGTGGTTTCATTGTTTGATGAAGGGTGGACGCTTGGAGTTGCATTCCCATTCTAGCATCTGAACAGTTCTTAGCAAGCTTTGTGTGAATGCGATTACGACAAAGAGCATACGAAGTCCTCACCAATTCGGTTACGGCCCTTGTCGGGTGTGTCTCACTTCCAAGTTCCAACATCTGCTTGTTTTTTTTTGAAAAGCTTTACCAAATAATGTACAGCACATGAAGCCATCTGGTTACGTACCTCGTTGGCTCGTATCCTTGGATTAGTAGCGCACGGTGGTTAAGTTTGTAAATATGATTTTTTCCTACTCAGGGGAAGGTAACAAAGTGAAAGAAGAATGCCAGAAATGTGTGTTTTCACTCTTAGATTGGTGTTCGTTTTATTAGAGCGTTTGCAGATTTCAGCTCAGGTTGCCTTACGTTAAAGTCGGGGTTTGTCGGTCAGCTTGACCCGATATTGTGTGGATCATTTGAGAAATGATTGGATTGTAAGGAATGAATGAATGTCTGTCTGTTAATGAAAGTGCTTGGAAGATGATCACTTTTTGCTAATAATCCATGAGGTGATGGTTGGTTTGATTAGGCTTTGCAGGTTTGATTGTGGACAGAGGAAGCTGTAATTACATGTTATTGTGAAAAAGGCACCAATCACGGCAAACAAACAGCGCCCAACCCAACCCAACCCACATGCTAATTATTGAGTCCAAGACCACTTAATACAATCATGATGAGAAAACTCAGCAGCGTCGGTGTCCAAAATGTCTTGATGCGTTTAATTCTCAAAGTAGAGAGAGATCTGATAAGGTAGGTGGTTGTTTAGATGATTGGAAAGCGGTTGTTTTTTGTATGAGGGAAACTTAAATCACTGATGATCTCGAGGAAAAGAGTAGATGTCAATTATCGTTGACTTAAACTTAGGTTAACCGAAAGAAGGTTGACAGAAAGCCATTTTGATCTACATGGTATCAATCCGAGTGATGGAAAAAAGTAGATGCCAACTTAGGTTAACTAAAAGGAGGTTGACATAAACGAGCTATTATGATCCACATGATATCAATCCGAATGATGAAAAAAAGTAGATGTCACTTATCGTTGATTTAAACTTGGGTTAATCAAAGGGAGTTTGACTAAAGCGGCTATTTTGACTCACATGATATCAATCTGAGTGATGAAAAAGAGTACATGTCAATTATCGTGGACTTAAACTTAGGCAAACCAAAAGGAAGTTGATAGAAAGCAGCTATGTCGATGATTGTTGACTTAAACTTAGGCAAACCAAAAGAAGGTTGACAAAAAGTAGCTCTTTTGATCCACCTGATATCAATCTGAGAGATAGAAAGCAGCTATTTCGATCCACGTGATATGAATCCAAGAGACAGAAAGCATCTCTTTTGATTCAAATGATATCAATCCGAAAGATACATGATATCAACCCGAGTTCTCTCATATTGGCGCTGCTTTAACTCCTCTTCCACGCCACCATTTGGGCTACTAGCTGCACCCACGGTCCACCTTCCATTTTGTTCATCCATTCCTTTTCATCCTTAGTGCCCTTGTAGAGTTAGAATGTAGGGTATTTATTTGGCATTTGGTCCATCAGTCTTGTGTGACTACAACTCTTTTAGTCGTAATTTCTTGTGTTTATTTGGTTTTTGAATTTTAAAAATATTTATTAAATTCACGAACTTTCAATTATATAATCTATAAGCTTTTGAATTTTAAGGGTTGGTCGGCATACTGGATTGGATTTGGATTTGGATGGGGTCGAGTTCCAAATCCATACCCACCTTTGACCTATTGTAGTCACAATCCAATGGTTGCAAAATCAACCTCATTGGTTATACCGTCCGAAATCAACTTTAAACTTATAGTTTCTATTTTTTTCATGAACTCGGGGAGACCCACTTTTTCTTTATATAGGAATTAGTAATTTCTCGCTTTATTTCTTGTAATTTTGTCATATATATATATATATATAACTTTAGGGTTAGGAAAAATGTATGCTTTAAACAACCTACCCATACAAATATGTTTAAAATAATATTTAGTTGTAAGTTAACAATATTCAAATAAACAAAAATAAACTATATTTAATTTCGAATTTATTAAAATGAAATGAATAATATTCCATTTTAACCCGAGAATTTAAAAAAAGATTTTTTAAAATAATAAGTATATTAAAAAAAAGGAAAAGAAAGGGCAAAAAAGTAACTTTGAAGTGGGAAGGAGGTGTTGGGGAATCTGTAAAGTGAGTAATGAGTGGCAATTTGATAACGCTCATCCCTTTCTCTTTAATAATACTAAATTTTGTTTCTTCCACTTTTTTCTTTTTCTATTTTTCTATTTTTTATTCTATAAATGAAGTGTAAGCATGTACAATAATACCCAAAATATTAGTGAATATATAAATTTTTTTTTATCTAAATCAAATTAAAATTCAAGATTAAAAATGTAATTTTTAACGTGACATTTTTTTTATGACTTACTTAACCGAGCACTGCTCAAGTTATAATACTTTTAACCTAAATTTAATCCGAGTCAATTAGAATAATCATTTTACCTATAAATTATAAGGTTCGGAGAGTTAAAAAAAATATAATTCAACTAATTAAGTAAAAAAATGTAAAATTTAAAATTACTGAGGAGATTTAGTAATTATTAAAAGAAAGATTCTTAATTGATGAGGTTGAAAAAATTGGGTTGAGTGAAATGAGGGAAATTAAAGCTAAATGATTGGAATTTGTTGAATTGGGAAGAGAAGGGTAAAAATGGAAAAAGGAGGAATCTTTTAAAGGCATTTGCAATACGACGTCGTATTCATTAATAATAAAATACAAAAGTGCTGCAAGTTTAGCATAGGATTCCATTTTTCTTTTTGGGATGCCTGTAATTTTTAACAAATAATATTAATTAAAAGCTAAGAACATTTTTTAATCTATTTAAAATAAAAAATTCACCAACCTTTTGCCTTAGCTCTTCGACCCGACCCTAAAAAAATATTCATTTCCCGTTTTGTCCCTGTACTTCTAGGAAGATATTCAACAACAAGAACCGAGATACCTCTCTTTCCCGTTCACTCAATCATCCACGAATGGTTGAAAATAAGTTAATGAATTTGTACGATTTTCTTGTTTAATCTATTGTTATAGTCTTAGTTGAGCTAGCTTGGCTAGTACAGTGGTCGATATGGCTCGTTTGGTTGTTTCTGTCCTATTCAATCTGTTGTTTTTTGTAATCGGATATAGCTTACAAGTGTTAGGAATCACAGATCTCCACAATAGTACGATATTGTCCACTTTGAGCATAACCTCTCATACCTTTGCTTTGGGCGTACCCAAAAGGCCTCATAGTATTTCTCACTTATAAACCCACGATCTTTCCCTAAATTAGCAAGTAACTCGACCCCAACCGCCTATAGGTAGTTTTAGACAGGTTTCTTTTGAAGTAGATACCTGAATGCCAAGTATGGCTCGTAATAATCTATCTTCGGGGGCATACGAAAGTGTTAGGAATCACGAATCTCCACAATAGTATGATATTGTCCACTTTGAGCATAAGCTTTCGTGGCTTTGCTTTGGGCTTTCCCAAAAAGCCTCGTAGTATTCCTCACTCATAAACTCATGATCATTCCCTAAATTAACAGGTAACTCGACCCCTACCGCCTATTAGACAGGTTTCTTTTGAATTAGATACCTGAATGCCAAGTATGGCTCGTAATAATCTATCTTCGGGGGCATACGATGATTCTTTCGCCATCTGAGGCGTTAATTTACCTACTAAAATATCGCTCGTCTCCACCCACGATCCCAGCATCACAGTTCCATTTTTGTCTAAATTTCGGAGTAAGCGGGCTTCTAGAAGGTGGAATTCACTCCCAACAATCCTCAACAACAAGCACACCTCTAGAAGATACTGTACTGTATTTAATATGATATTTTAATACTTATAATGCGTATAAAATTCATGAAAGACCCAATGGTGTAGAACTTTGGTTCAGTCACTTTCATCCTTTTCTCTCTCGTCATCGTGCAATCAAGATGATATAATATAAGAGTGATCTTTACTGCATCCGCCTCAATTTTTCCTTTTTTTTTTTCTTTTGGATTTTGCAAGAAAAGAAATGGCAATGGCAATGGCTGACTGGTGAATTCCCACTTTTTATTGACGAAGTAGGATCGATGGAAACATACGTTACATTCCATATAAAGCTGATTTAGAGAGAGAGAGAGCGGGCGAGCTGGTAGGTGGATCGTCATTTTGTGAAGTTTTTGGGCTTGTGTTTGTGCTCGAGCTTTGTTCTTCGACTTGGATTCACTCGCTGTTAGCTAATTTCACTTTGGATCAGTGGATTTTTTGGCATTTGGGCGGATTCCAGCAAATGGTTCCTGCTCAGATTGGCAGAGGGACGGCTGCCGGGAGGGCTCCGGTGCTGGTTTTCTCTTTGTGGTGTCTGATCTGTCTGTCCCTCGCCGCTCGGTTATCCCCTTCCATGCAGCAGCTTGAAGTTCAGAAGCATCTCAGGCGTATAAACAAGCCTCCATTGAAAACAATCGAGGTTTCTTCTCTCTCTTACTTTCTCCCTCTAAAAGATGCTTTGGTTTTTGCTTTTCGGAATACTTTGAAGATAGCGAGAAAGTAATCGAGTATCATTCTTTTAGTTTTAATAATGTATGCTATGAGTATAGCCCCCTTTCAATCGATCGAGTATTGCAGCTTTCAATTCAGTGTTCATGTTTCTCTTGATTTGTTATTCTGATCTGATTATGACTGTTCTTGTGATGTTCAAGCAGAGTCCAGATGGGGATATAATCGATTGTGTCCACATTTCTAATCAACCAGCTTTTGATCATCCTTTCCTCAAAGATCACAAAATTCTGGTTTGTTCTTCTTAGATTTTGCAGCTACATAAAGTATTTCTTCATCTATCTGTCCTGAAATTTCTTGAACACTTGTTTGGTATATCAGACGAGGCCTACTTACCACCCAGAAGGGCTGTTTGATGAGAATAAGGTGTCTGAGAAGCCTAAAGAAAGAACAAACCCCATCAATCAGCTGTGGCATGCAAATGGAAGGTGCCCAGAAAACACCATTCCTATTAGGAGAACCAAGGAAGATGATGTTCTAAGAGCAAGCTCTGCCAAAAGATATGGAAAGAAAAGACATAGAAGCATTCCTCAACCGAGGTCTGCAGATCCTGATCTCATTAACCAAAGTGGTCATCAGGTAATTCTTTTCTCTTTTGAATACACACAGTCTTTTTATGGTTTAGTTCTGATATCATGGTGTTCCCTTCGGAGCTGCTTAGCACGCAATAGCTTATGTGGAAGGAGATAAGTTTTATGGAGCAAAGGCCACAATCAACGTCTGGGAGCCCAAAATACAGCAGCCTAATGAGTTTAGCTTGTCTCAGTTATGGATATTAGGAGGCTCTTTTGGTCAAGATCTTAATAGTATTGAAGCTGGCTGGCAGGTACTATGGGTACTCATCGATACCAAAAGGCTTATCCAATAATTGTTGTTGCTCATAATTGATTGTTTATGACAACAGGTCAGTCCAGATCTGTATGGCGATAACAACACAAGACTCTTCACTTACTGGACTGTAAGATTGATTTGCTTCTGTGATGAATATATTGTCATTGAATCTTTGAGTTTTATTCTTCCAATTCCATATCATTGTTCTAATGATGATGAATGGTGTTTGCAGAGCGATGCATATCAAGCTACAGGTTGCTATAACCTCCTCTGCTCAGGGTTTATTCAAGTGAACAGTGAAATAGCCATGGGAGCAAGCATCTCGCCTGTGTCTGCATTTCGAAGTCCCCAGTATGATATAAGCATACTTATCTGGAAGGTAAGTGACAAACTTCACTTGGACAACTCAGAAAAGAAAAATTGAAACATCGACAATTGTGTTAAATGCTAAAAGACAAATGAAACTGACTGTGCAAAGATAAGTGCATGTGATCATTTTGAGAACATTGTCCTGCTGAGATGGGGTTTTCACATTAGGTGTTAGAATAATACCCACACGTATAATTTATGAGAAAAGGGTCGGAATTGAAAAAAATCGCAGTGGTTGAGATCGAAGATTCTCTTGTCATTTCCCCCAACTTGAGCTTTTAATATATGAAGAACCCACATGGGTGGCTTAACGAAGTATTTTGATTGATATATAGTGTAAGAGTCACCGCTAGCAGATATTGTTCTCTTTCGATTTTTCTTTTCGATTTTCCTTAAGGTTTTTAAAATGTATATGCTAGGGAGATGTTTCAACATCCTTATATAGTTAGCGTAATTCATTAGTGAAAGTAATATTAAGTAGTTTGTTTGTTGTTGATTGAGATTTGAGATGACAAAACTTGTGTAGGATCCAAGTGAAGGACACTGGTGGATGCAGTTTGGCAATGACTACGTGTTGGGATATTGGCCATCTTTCCTATTCTCGTACCTGGCCGACAGTGCCTCGATGGTCGAGTGGGGAGGGGAGGTTGTGAATTCAGAGCCTGATGGGTTGCACACTTCAACCCAGATGGGAAGTGGTCATTTTCCAGAAGAGGGGTTCGGGAAGTCGAGTTATTTCAGGAACATTCAAGTCGTTGACAGCTCAAACAATCTCAAAGCTCCCAAAGGGATTGGTACCTTTACAGAGCAATCAAACTGCTATGATGTTCAAACTGGCAGCAATGGAGATTGGGGCCATTACTTTTACTATGGAGGCCCTGGCAGAAACCAAAACTGTCCATGACCACTACACATCAATGTAACTCTCTCTCTCTCTCTCTCTCCTGTAACATGCATTCAAAAGCTAGTGAAATTTCTTCTCTCCTTTGTATACACCTCCTTGATCATGTGGGGTTGGGGTAGAAAGGTAAAATATGAGCTCTCCTCTGTAGTGTGAAGTAGTTTTAGGCCCCTTAAAAAGCTTGAAAGGAACAAAGCCTTTGTGAAGCTGCACTTTGTTTTGTTTTGTTTGTAGTTTACTCCTCTCTAAGAGGGGATGGTTGTTAATCAATGGATGAACTGATGAAAGCCTTTGTTTTTTGGTTAAAGATGATGGAAACTTTTGAGAGTGGAAAGGTGAGTGTGAGTGGGGGGATGACAGTGCGCTGTGCGCTCCCCACCACACCACATGAGGCTTAAAGTTGGGGCCATCCCCCACTTGCAAGCTGCCATTAATACTCTGTTTGAAATTGTTGGCTGGCTGCATCTATGAGCTTTTGCCTGCTTTTAGTTTCTGTTCTTAAGGAATCTTTTTATTTTTTTATTTGTAGAGTTTGCCTTTTGAGTTTCCCTGCCATTCTCTTCCACCTCCTAACCACTCTGTAAATCTTGGGTGTTGTAATCTTTTTTTACCCCCAACTTTCTTCATTTTTTAATCAAAACGGTCAAAAGTTTATATATTATACTTAAAACTAAAAGAAAAAAAAGTTAAAAAAATATTTTTATAGATAATTGTGGATGAAAGTGATTGGTACTTTGTTTAAAAAATACTCTCAAAAAGTTATTGGTCCTTACAGCTAACCGTTTCCGCTCCATTGCCATCAACCTATTCTCGTACCTTTGTTTAGAATGGTTTCATGTTCCTTCATCAAAGCGTTATTCCTCTCTATTCATCTCTCTTTTTCAATTGTAGTCTTGATTAGTTTACAAAATTGAACGATTGATTTGCCTTTGACCCTCAGTTTGATTGTTTTTTTGAGAATGTTGAGCGGGGTTGGTAAGCTGTGTATTTGGGAGAAAGTGAAAACAAAGGCTTTCACTTTTTTACACCCTGGTTTAGTCTCGCAAAGATATTTAAAAAATGTCTATGAACTTTTAACTTTTAACCTTTATAAAAATGTTTTTTTTAATGAATATATAGATAAAAATTGTTCATCTACACTTTAAAGATAATATCTCTTTTAAATTTTAAAAAAATTCTTGGTTAGTTTAAGGATATTAATGTAATTTAAAAATTTACCAAGAATTTTCATAATATAACATTTTCATCCATCCATGTACTAAAAGTATTTTAAACTTTTTAAAAAAGTTTTTAAGTTCTGATTTTTTTAAAAAAGTTTGTATTTATTAATTAAATTTTTGAAAAATTAAAAGAGAATACTTTTAAAAGTTAAATTATTTTTAATTAAAAGTATTGTTTACTCAGTTTCATCCTTTCTTTACTTTCTAAAGGCTCTGAAATTGGGCGACTCGTGAGGAGCTATGAAGGGAAAAAGGTAGAATGTCACCTCTGAAGGGAAATAAACAAGTTTTTATTGGTTGATGGAAGATTTGACATATCTTCCATTACAATTAAAGACATTGAAAATCAATGTACAAAAAAGTGAAGAACAAGGAAGAGATTATGCTTCAAATTGTTCATAAAATGAAAACAATGGATCCATTGAATTGAATGTGGGTTCAGATCTATATGCTTTCCATCCAACCATTCAAGATTATACTTAATGGCTTCGGTTAATGAGAGAATTATAATGTCAACTATTATGAGGGAAGTTTTTGGATAATTTATAAACCTACTTGAATTGATCTAGACTTCTTTCCAGACTCGTAACATAATAAGGTAGGTCAAGTATACATACCCGGTATAACAAGTGTACTAAATCAGCAGGTAAACGAGAGAGCTCGTTTCCAAAGGTAGGTCAAGCATACATGGCCGATAAAACAAGCATGCTCGTCTCCAAGTGTAGTGGCGCCTATCTATCTTGGCTATATGTAAAAAAACAACGTTAGTAATTAGTCATTTTTACGTGATTCAATTCAAAATCATTTAAATAAAATTAAACTTCTCGTAAAGTTCTACAAGAGTAGCAAGAAGAATAATCGCATAGTTATTCCTAATGAATAAATAAAATAGAAAAAGAGGAGAAGACGAAAGAGTGCCAGAGCCAATCATTTTCTTTTGGTACCCGAACCCAACCCAAATAAGATCGAGTTAAAAAAAATGGACCCAACCCAAACCCGAAATCCAACACAACCCAACCCAACCCAACCCAACCCTTATATTTCGGGTTGGGTTCTCGAGTTTCCGGGTTGGGTGTACACCCCTACAAAAGACCACACATGTTAATAAAAAGCTGTTATTATCATTTTTTTCATTGTAAAAAAAGGATCTTTAATCAGCAAAGAAAAACGATATAACTTGGTATTTCATTTCAGTACCTGATTTAGGGGCGTGGAGAAAACAGGCTAAGAATGAGGGACTGTAAAGCTCACGTGGAAAAAGGAAAAAAAGACAGAGACAGCAAAACAAGGAGACCCACACAGATAGGTGCGGATTGTAAGGCAAAGCAACCAACCAAAACCACCCTGTACCTGTCTCAGCCTCTCGAGTTGTGGGGCTTGGCTTTCAGGAATGTGCATCATAAATAGGCTCTTCTTCCCCCTCTCAAAGCCCACACCCACGCCCACGCCCACTGTTCTTCTTCAATTCAACAGCAGCCCAAAGCCAGGAGGGAAAGGTCTGCAAATCTCACAACACATCATTCATTCAGCAATGGAAGCAATGAAGTTGAAGCTTTTCCTGGTGCTGCTGGTGTTGGTGGCCTTTGCCGGCACCATGGCCCAAGCTGCTGCTCCTTCTGAGGCTCCTGCTCCTGCTCCTGCCTCAGATGCTCCTCTTATTTACTCCTCCTTCTTTGCTTCTCTATCTGGACTTGTTTTTGCTTACTTCCTTTAAACTTTAATTCCCCTCTTGGCATTGCTTCTGTTGGTGTCATCGTCATGCTTTTACTTGCATCTGATTGTATATCTTCTACCATTTGATTACTTCATTTAATGAAGCTATATTCTTTCTTATACATGTTGATGGGATTGTCTTAGCCTGATAATATAGACCTCGTAACATAACAGGGAACATTAAACTATCATGTTGGCAAAGAAAACATGAACAACTCACTTTTGCAGATCAGCAGCATACTCCCCATGCTAATTTCAAACATAGAGTCGATAAAAATGGAGTTGGCAAGGGCATAGTTTAAAGAACTCTTACAGGGGTTATTATGAATTCCATGGTTTTTGCCAGTGAGAATCTGGCACATTCATATTACAGAAGTAATACTATATCTTCCCCCTATTGCAATCATGCTTGACCTTTGAACCACATTTGCACAGAAAGACAAGGTTATATTGCTTTTAAACTCGAGTCTGGAAATCTGTATTCAAAGAAAGTTAGATTACAACACGACCAAAGAACGAAAAATAAGTAACTTGGAAAGGATCTCCATCAACCGGCCAGTCCTTCATAACCCATAGGATTTTTCCACCTTTTGAATCTGGTTTAGGAAAATCCAAGTCATCTGCACCATCAAGAACCCAACATTCAGTTTAGTTTAGTTAATTAGCTGATTCTTAAATATGGTACCAACATCAATGGATCATGAGGCAGAAGCCCATGCTACACCAACGGCTGGTACTATGATAATTCACTCTTTTCTCACCTTCCATCAAGTCTTCATGGCTGTGGGTTTTTTTTTTTTCTTTTTTCTAAAGCACACAAGAAAAAGACAGAGATATACCATGACATGGGGGGCAATTCTGACGCAATACACTGGAAATCCAGTGTAAAATTTAAACGGCCCTCCTGCCTTGAGAGTTTTCATGGAACAATCTAAAGAACCAGAGTAGGGAAATTTTCCCTCAGCATCAGGTTGCATTTTCTGAATTTGAGTCTTCACATAATCAAAGGGTAGACTACACGCTGAAGCAAAGAATCCCGACACCATACTGGCAGCTAAGGACAACAGGAAATAAATAAATGATAAATAATCGTTTAAGGAATAGTACCAAGAAACAAAAAGATAAACGAACATTTTTCAAAGATTGCCATTTTAATACACAGAAGAAAGAGGAAGAACGAAAAAAAGACAAACAAACTTTCATTGAATTTCAACTCCAAGAAAGATCATAGAAATAAGAAAAAAAATACTTGGGTCTTCTGGGTAAAAGAAATTTAAACTCCAAGAAAGAGCTAATTAATCACAGGCTTACAGTTTGACCTCTCAAAATTATCTATCATTCCATAGAGACCCTAAAATCAACAAAGAAATGCCACAGAAAATAGGAACCAAATCACTTAATGACCAACAATGATTATGCTAAGCAAATATTTTTCTTCCAACAGTGTCAAACTGTACGCATGTGAATAAGATATGAATAAATAATAACTAAGAAAGAGATAGCAAAATGATGAGTTCTCAGGTTTAAATAGGTTGGGAGATAAAAGAAGATAGCGTAAAGTAATTGTTTGATCAAAAGAAATTAAAATACAGAGCTCAAGTCTATTAAAAATTGCAAAAACAGGCACTTGGCATCAGCTTATAGCATTCAAAAGCAATCTTACCCAACACCGTAGAAGCTTCACCAAATCCAAGGTTATCCTTGAAGAACTCCACACTTTGATCATACGAGGCAAGCATTCCCATGTTCAATGCCATTGCTCTTACAACAGTGGGGCCTGCACCTTTCCAAAGAGCCAAAACCCCCTCATCTGCAAGAATGCGATATAGTGCATGAAAGGCATTTTTATAGTTCCGACGCTGGGCAGCTGGTAAGGTCGCATCTGCTTGCATGCGAATAAGAGCCAAGTCTGCTGGACTACCAACAGATGCTCCAATAGCACCGGCTGTAAGCCCACATAAGGCCTTCTGATACAGTGGAAGGGGCTTTCCTTCATTGGCTTCAATTGCTTTGTTTGTCAATATCCTAGGGGAGAAATGGAGAAAAACAACTGTATGATTAACCATATATACAAACCAAACCAGAAAAACAATGCAGGAAGATTTTACTTGGTCCTTGTAATTTAGAACGTGACAATTTAACTCCAGTAATCTTAGATGGTTATTATATCAGCATGGTATTGATGAGTTTAACATAAAAGTAATTTCTTTCAGAAACTATAGGAACCAAGCAATCTTTCCTAAAATGTAGGGACTAAAAAGTGCAATTTTCCTCAAAGTTCTTTCAGAAACTATGTTGATGCTAATAAGATCAAACGTTGGAAGTAAAACCATATCCTCACGAGTATGAATCCAGAGGTGTTCAATTCTAGTTTTGTAATGAGCTCACTTAAAAGATCCAAGCCTTGCTGTAGTATACGTAGCTTGTCTGAGCAGTCCAGCAGATAGCCCCTGATTGGAAAATGAAGTTTAGACAAGATATAATCCACAAAACTATGTGTCGGGCACGACCTCACCAGAAGAATTAAATCAACCAAGAAAGTTGTAAACAAATCCCCAACAGAAATTCAACTTGGACAAAGTCCTAATTTACAAGAACATCGAAAATATGTCAAACATCCATTGAACTTTTTAGTAACTCCTCAATTTTTACACCAGTAGTCTCTACATAATTCAATAGTTGCAAGAAATGAATAGTTCAGCAAAACACAACACAACGGTACTCCGGAACAAAGACATTCCTGAATGATTGGAATCAGTAGATCAATACTAGATTAACAAGAGATGGTATGAAGTATAGCGATCGATACATCAATTTTCTATCAGGAATTAATCAAAGCGAAGGAAAAATGGAACGCTCAATGCAAGCAGTACAATAATAATAATAGCAGTTTGAAAGATATTGTAATAGCCATACCATAGAAGAAACAGAGAACGAAGGAAAACTTTTAAGCACAGATTGAGTATGCAAACCTTGTAAAACGCACCAAGCCCCTCCTCCTTGAGCATAGTTCTTGTAACGTGAGCCGCTGATCCTTGACCAAGTTGAATCCTCACCTAAGAGAAGCCGACCAAAGCAGGAGTACAAAGAACACCAAGAACAGGAAGGCATAAACGTCAATTACAGCATAACGAAGCAGCATGCGAAGAAAGGGGAAGTGAAGCATACAGAAGCCATGAAGAAAGCCATTGGCAAGAAAAACGAAAAGGAAGAGGAGGAAAAGCAGAGGATGAAGGAGGTAGAGCACCTTGACCATATCAATGGGTTGGATGACGCAGGTGGCGAGCATTCCAGAGGCGCCGCCATTAACAAAGGGCTTGACAGTGGGCCAAACGCCGGCGGACTTGGACTTCTTATCGTCAGCCATTGATGAGAGGAGGAAGTGGAGGAGGGAGGTGGTGGTGGTGGTGGATTCTCTTGAATCTCTTCTCGGCAAAATTAATGGCTCAACTTTTATATCTTTCCGTCGTTTCCTTTCGTTCCTCAGCCTCAAACCATTTTGTCCTTTCTTCCCTCCATCTCTTACAAAACATTATAAATAATAATATTATTTCATTCCTATATTTTTTTATTTACTGAATTCTTAAAATTTTAATTTTATATCTAATTAACCTAATTTTTTTTTTTTTATTTTGTTTGTAATATGTCCTTAATATATTTTATATTTTTAAAAATTCACATTACAAAATTACAAAATTACAAAATAGTTTATAGTTTTATTTATATCTGATATATCACTTCATTTTCTTAAAATGTTAATAAATAATTTTTATATATGGACAGTAATAATTTTTTTTTTAATTTTTTTAAATTTTATAAGTATTTTTTTTAAAAGATAACACTAACCATAATATTTTTATTTCAATGCTTTCAAAAATTGAAATGTGTTAATAATTTTTTAAAAAACTTAAATGTATTTTTAAATCACTATACTTAGCATTTTTTTAGAAATATAAAATTATGTGAAATCAAATATAATTTAAAAAATAAATAATAAATGTAACCGCCCACGTCCATCTAGTAGATATTGTTCTCTTTTGACTTTCCCTTTCAAGTTTTCCCAGAGGCTTTAAAACATATTTTCCCTTTCCAGCTTCACCCCAAAGCTTTAAGACGTGTCTGCTGGGAGAAAGTTTCCACACCCTTATAAATATGGGTTGTTCTCCTCCCCAACCAATATAAGACATCACAATAAATTACATTCTTGTCAAGCTTCCCCTCAAGGCTTTAAAACGCACTTTCCATTTCGAGCTTCCCTTCGAGGCTTTAAAATGCACTTTCCATTTCGAGCTTCCCTTCGAGGCTTTAAAACGCGTCTGCTAGGGAAAGGTTTCCACACACTTATAAAAAGTGGTTTCTTCTCCTCCCCAACCAACGTAGGACATCACAATAAAATCTATATTTCTAGATTTTTCTATATATTTTAAATCTAGAACTTTGTTACGTTACATGCATAACTTAATTTAATTTAATACATATTTTAAATTATTCCGATAGTAGCATGAAACGTGGTATGCTATATAATTTTTCGAGGGATTGTGATATTCATGTGACGTTTTGGTCTTGTTAATATTCGTGTTCTTCGTATAAATAACTAATATTTCCTACGTTTTAAATTTTTTAGTTTATTTAGTAATTAAATGGTTTTAATAAAATTATATAAAGTTTTTAATTATAAATAAATATTACAATAAGCAATTTGAAGAATTAATTACAAATGCTATACTCTAAAAATTAAATAATTTTATAAGAATTAACTAAATTATTATTAGTTAATTATAATTAAATTAGAAACAAAATTGAAAACAAATCAAAGTAACATAACACAATCACAAAATTCATTGATGCATTCTTCAACTTAAACTGCGACCAAAATTTATAATGACAATGATACTGAGTTAATAGAACCAAAACAAAACTGTAAAAGCATTGCCTCCGCGGCAACTAGAAGACCACATTGACCTCTCCTCGGGCCCGACCCACTTGTAATTAAACAAATGAAATATACACTTTTTTTTTTTTTTTTACACGTTCATTTTCAGCAGCAACGATGATTTCCACTCATCAAATGACAATGATGCCTCTCCCTGTAAGAGACTAGACAAAACTCATGCTTGAGAGCATTTTATGGCAAAGAATGGGAACGAATATATTTCACACAAACAAGGACAGAAAAAAGTGTAGCATCCTCCCGGGGGCAGCAGCAGCAAGATCCAGAGTGTCACCTTTTAAGATGCTACTATGAGAGGAGAGAGTGCAAAGCAAGTTGTTGCTGGGGCTGCAAGGAGGACCAAGTTGAGGCCAAGGTAGACGGCGGTAGATTCTGTTGCATCTGTCTCAATAAATTTATCATTCGGCTTGCAGTTTGCTCTGTAGCTAAATCCTTCCCCGCACATAGAACCTGCACATGCAATTAGTCCCTCGAGTTAAAATAAAGGGTGCACGAAGCATTGTCGCACGTTTAGATCTAAACGTGCACTAAGTAGCATCTCACTGCTTTTGCTACTACAAAACAGACAGGCCACGATGAACAATTATTGTTGGAGGGTCGCTATCTATCTTTTGGGTATCAACCAAGTTAGCATGTGCTTGGTTCAATCGAGCACTTCCAATTGTCCAATCAAGGTATGTTAAATGGATCCTTTCTCTTCATACAACATCATAAAGTAACAAAGAATACAGAATCAATCGAGGGATTGGACTTGCAGTGGTTTTCATCATGAGGAGCATTTCCATCGACTAATTGATTTGAGACATACATGGCTCAATATAAAACATGGAAGTCAGAAAACAACATCCTAGATTCAATCACTTCTTAAGAGATTGATAGCACCCATTCTTATTGTGGAAACAATTGTTATCCTATCATCCATTTTTTTTGTGTTCTCTTGCAGGTTATAGATTGATTCATGCAGCAGTAAAATGCTCAGCTAACATCATTCGGCCCTCTAACAAACTTTTCGTTCAGATCCCAATCAAATAATATAGGCAGGCATGAAATAAGTACCCCTCTTATGAAATGCCTACCATTCTCTAAAGCCATATTGAATGGGTAGTGAGTGCGGTTAGGATAAGAACTACAGGCTCTTTTCATTCTTAATAAGACCAAATAAGGCTCAGAGTGTCATGTTCTGCCATAGATCTTGCTCACATTCAAAACAGAAATCTTTTAAGACTTTGAATATTTAGAAAATGAATGGAGGCACTCTATTCATCTGGTCGAAGTTCATTTATAATCCAAAAGTCCTTTGTTACTGTGAAATATGATAAACCAATTAAATTTCCAACTGACCTCGGCAAAAACAGCAACTATTTTGGGAAGATATTGATTATTTGGGCCCAAAATTTCCGTATCCGACCTGTACAAATAAAACTTAGTATAGTGTTGTAACAATTAGAATGAAGAAAAGAGAAGAGTTACCAATACTAAAATGGGGAGGGGATAGTAGCAGATAAACCTACCTCTCTACCAAAGAACAAAGCTGGTCGTGCACAATTTTTGCTTCAACCAAATCACCTTTTATTGGTAAGCAGTTTAACCATGCTGGAACAACCTGTCAAAACCGTACACAGTTTATGAATGAGAGACAAAAAATCGAGAATCCACTGAGTCCTGTAAAAATCTTTGAAAGGTTTGACACATGTCTCTGGGAACATGGATAACATAAGGAAAAATTTAAGAATTTATTATCTGCATATAAAGCAACTGAACAGGAAAAGTGCCTAAAATTTCATAGTTGAGTGCATTTTTCACACATCAGAAAAAGTGGAAATGTAATTCTGATTTTGGGGATTGCCCATAATCTCCTAACAACAGGAAAGTCAGGGCTCTCACCTACAGTGGTAAATAATTCATAGGTCAAAAAATTAAATATTACCTGAGCCGAATCAATACTGTCACGGTGAAATTGACAAATTTTCCCCAGAGCCGAAACAGCATTGTCATATGCCATTACATTTTCAGGAAGTAGAGCATTAGGATGTCGTAACACAACATTTAACCGTGACAGAGCCTCTGCAAAAATTCACTAAAAAATTGATACTCTGTCCAAAACACAATCTTTCCTGAGAAATGTAAATAAAGTTACCTCCAACAAGTGGTTTAAACACAGATCCACCGAACTCTGCACAGACACCAAGCCCGTACACAGCAGCCTGAAAAAAAAAATCATACAATTCAATGAGAAGGAAAATATCTAAACCCAGCAAATTAACACTGTTAGTAAGTACACACCTGTCTGACATCAGGATTCTCATCATTGCAAGCTTCCAGTAGGAAGGGAAGGTATGTATCATAATATCTGTTGCATAACAAGAAGCCAGATAATGATAGGTTTTTGTTTGTAAACATGGTTTCAAAGAAATAATGAAGCAAAGCAAGCTTACTTCAGCGCTGCTTCACGACACTGCTCTGCAACATCATCAAAGATGCAAATTGCAATCCTTCTTTCTTCAGGCGTCTTATCCTTCCCCTGCATTTTCACCCAAACGAATTGAACAAAAGACAACATAAACCACCACAAAAACTGGGCTTATTCTGAATTAAAATAGTTAACTTTTATAACTCAATAATCTATGGAGATTACATTCAGTCCTCAAGGGTTTCATCACCCATTTTTTGCCACTTTCAGGGGAGTCGGAAAGTGTGTGAATGTATAAACAAGAAGTCCTATATACCTAAATTCTTGTATCACAAATTAATGTTACACCATCAGGAGTAATTGAAGGTATAACCAACTCCACTAGAAGAGGTTCTTACTCAAAATAAACCGTGGGAATTCAGAAAGTTGAAGAAATATTACAAATTTCAACATCCTTTCCAACTTCTGTTCAGACGATTGGTTAAATCTTCTCTCCTCTCTCATTCCGAGAATTACATCATTCTTTACAGCTTTAACAAACAAATGAGACTGCCCTCCATTATCCGAAGTACATGGAAGAAGTACATGGAAGAACAGACAAAAAAAAGTTCATGAGCAAGAGAGGATTGTGCTCTCCCACCTTCAAGAAATTCTCCAAACTAATTCAAACCAACCAGAGACCAAGTCTTGAAAGATCTTTGTCCAAAATTAGAGTCAACAAGTTCAAACTCCATTCCTTTCAATTACCAAAATGCCAATTTGACAACTTTACATTATTTTCAAGATGAGGCCCATATACTACTTGAAGGAAGAAATAATCAGCCAAATCCAATTGGCTCTATGATCAATAGTAGTCAAAACAAAGTCTATACAGTGATTTGAACAATTAGATATAACTGAAAAAAAAACTTCCACTCATCACAAAGTAGAAACATCTGCCCAATTTTCTGGAACTTACCCACATAGGTGTTAGATATGTAGACAGCTCTTGAAAGAAAGGCAAGAAAGACGCTTTGAATGTTTTGATCAAAGTTCCCAATATTTCACCAACCTGAATCAATGATACAGTCCATAAATAAACAAGGTCTCGAAACCGAGTGGGATGTAAAATGGACTTC